TATATATATACAGTATATATATAATGTAAAAATTTATATTTAAAAATATTTAGTATATATACAATTTTATATAAATAATTTTCACACTATCATTTTTGCTAGTTTATTGACAGCCAAAGTAGATAAATTACACAAAAATTATAAAATAATAGGATCAAGGCATGACGTGGCTCAAACCTATACCTCCCGCATGAACACCACAGCTCAATATGTGTGGAGCATGTGTGCTAAAGGGCTCCAAACCTCTCGTGTAATTTTGAATCCTCATAACATCCTATAAGGCCTACAAATTTAAGGAGAGTGACTTAAACACACTTTGAAGGCAGTTGTTTTCATAGCCTGTGTTAAAGAGAGCGAGAACCAGTGTTTAGAGCAGCATCCCTTACCAGGGCTTGCAAGTGCATTAGCTTTAATGGAGTGTGTGTAACGGTGGTTTGTGTATATCAATCCATCTCGGAGAAAAGCAGAGAACGCTTCCTATAAACAACAGAGGCAGCAGACGGCATGTTGATGTAGAAGCTTATGCAGGGCTCTTTCTTAGAGAAACAAGAGGACTCTGGGGACAGAGTCCAGATGCCAAGTACATGAGGGGCACGGTGCCCACTGCAAGCTTAGCAATGCCATGTGGAAAGATGGGCATAAATCTTCCTCCTTCAAGGGCTCTGAGTGCACAGGTATGCCATACTGTGGGGGCTGACAGGATGCTAATGGAGTGAGAAGTGTAGTGCTTCTGAATGAGATGTTTACTGTATGCATATTCACTTCTAAATATAGAATAAATCAAATATGAACAGCTACACGTGCACAGATCGCACGTTGAGTGTTGTTTGTGTTCTGTGGTGTTTCAGGTGTCTTCATACTGGATGCTTTAAGATGCTTTAAGCTTTAAGATAAATTATTTCACATAATTTAGTTGAAAATGTCTCATTCCGCTCAACCATTCTTTCTTCAGGAAAGTTTTTTACAATTTTTTTTTTTTGAAGTAAAATGCTAATGCATAATGGTAAAGCTAAAAATGATTGAAAATCATTTTTGTTAATTGAAACAAACCTAAACTTAAAAAATGTAGAACTGTTGCCTTGGCAGCTAAGTGAAATAAACTGTTCAATTAAGTACTAAAGTTACTAATACTAAAATGAAAGCTGAAGTAAAACTAAATTGAAATATTCAAAAACTAATAAAAACAAATAACAAATATGAAATTAAAAGCTAATTGAAAATATGAATAAATACATATAAATGAAAAAGTATATAAATAATACAAAAAATTAATGATATTAATAATAGAACTGTAGAATGAGAGGATAAGAAAATAATCAACAGTAGAAACATATCTAGAGTACAACATTTAAGGCTGAAGTTTTCTGAATTAGAATAAAACATTCTGAAATAAAAATGCAGTTCATGACTCATTTAATATCATTAAATGTGTGTGTGTGTGTGTGTGTGTAAAAAAAAAAAAAAATATATATATATATATATAAAATCAAATTAAAGGGTGTCGTGAATAATTTATAAAACTATAATATATATTTTTAAGTGATCTATATATTTGAATTTTATGAAATATATATTTTATTTAGTATTTTATTATGTCATTTATTGGTGGGGCTAATGAGGCAATAATGTAGAAGTAGGCGTTTATCTTTAGGCGATCATACTGAGATGAAATATGAAGCAAGCCATTTTGGCAGCTTGATTTTAATAAAAGCTGTTTTTGGAATTACAAGGAAGTTTTAAAGGGTTAGTTCACCCAAAAATGAAAATTCTGTCATTAATTACTCACCCTCATGTCGTTTCAAACCCGTAAGACCTTCGTTCATCTTCGGAACACAAATTAAGATATTTTTGATGGAATCTGAGAGTTGTCTGACCCTGCATAGACAGCAACGCAACTGAAATGTTCCCAAGTCCAGAAACGTAGCAAGGAGATTGGTAAAATAATCCATGTGACATCAGTGGTTCATCCGCAATTATACGAAGCTACGAGAATACTTTTTGTGCGCAAAAGAAAAGAAAAAACCCACTTTATTCAACAATTCGTCTCCTCCGCATCACCCTGTAGCGCCATTTTGGAGAGTATCCACTGGACGTAAACAACGTATGCTGTTCTTTGTCAGCTGCGTCACACGGATACGCTGTTTCCGTTCAGATCAAATCACAACAACGTAGGAAACCGATCCGGCGTGACGCAGCTGACACAGAACAGCATACGAACGTTTACGTCCAGTGGATACTCTCCAAAATGGCGCTACAGGGTGATGCGGAGGAGACGAATTGTTGAATAAAGTCATTATTTTTTTCTCGTAGCTTCTGAAACTTGCAGGATGTGTTTATAGTACAATGACCTTTTATGTCAAAAGATCAGATTTGATTTATCAGTTCATGACCCCTTCAATGTCATCATTATTATTGTTATTTAGATTATATATATTGATTTTTAAAATGATGCATTTAGTTGTTTTTTCCTGTCTTTTTCAGGAGCTAATCATAGGTCAGCACAGGTACTGCTGTTACTGGTCATCCCTGGTCATTTGATCTTCCTGTACACCATTGATCTGATGGAAAGGGGTCACACCTCACTTACGCCCGTTTTCATGGTCGTGTATTTAGCTGCCGCTCTTTTCCAGGTGAGCGTGACTTGTTGCCATACTATGACAAAAATAGAGCCTTCTATCCGAGTGTCAAGGCACTGACATCTTCACATTTATTTCCATGCTGTTTAGAGAACCTGTCATCACTATGTCTTTTTATTAAATCTGACACCTATTTGAGGCTCAGCTGTAAGCACTATTTCCTGTAGCAGACGAAAATGTCAGCCTATAATCATAAAACCAGACACCCATTTTATGATACGGTCTGGGGAATCTATTTCATCTTCAGTTTAATCGCGATGAATGTGCCGCCAGCAGCCCACATGTAACAATGTTACAACATGCATTTTTTTTTTCCCATCATAAACCTACAAGCCTTTTAGAAAATCCCCAGAGCTTTTAGACGCCCCATTTCCCCTCTGAATGAAGCAGTGATGACATTAGCGATAGCGAGCAGGTGTTGTTTGTGTGTGTGTAGGTGGGTGTGTATGTCTCTGTGAGTGTTTGGTTATTCCAAAAGGGTGTTTTCATAAATTGTTTGGATCGCAATTAAGATCGATTACCCGCAGAGAACCTCAGTAAGTGCATTCAGCGGCTGGCATGTGGCGGCATGTTGCGAGCATGTGGAATGTGTGGTATTTTTAGGAAGTTTGTGTGTATGTGTACATTGTACGTAAAACGCCCTCTCTAACCTGAACACACACACAATTTTCTTTGAGATCCACAGCTGCACTGTTTTACTTCAAAGCCGTTTGAAGGATCCTTGAGGATGGAGAGAGAGAGAGAGAGAGAGAGAGACATTCTAATGGCATTCAGTGGGGCCATTTATTGGGTTATAATGCTGCTCAGATATTTATTTTGTGTATCTTCTTTCTAAAAACAAACTTTTGTCAAATTGTATAAATCGATTGTAGTAAATTTGCACAAATTTGTATTTTAAATACTATTTATTTAACTGTAATTCAACAAAAATATACTTAACTATAATAATGAAAGTTTAAATAATGAATAATGAATAATTAATTTAACTATAAATTAATACATATATATATATTTTTATATTTTTATCACCGAAAGCAAGAAATAATATATGAAACCCTTATATGGCTAAATTATGCTTCTCAAATTTTTTTTCAAACAAAAGTTCCCTATTATTAGTCTTCACCAGCTATAGCTTGGCTTGTTGAACATATGTCTAGTGCCCTTAAGTGGCCCCCTGACCTCTGACCTTTATGAGTCTTCAAATACAAGGTATCTATAGAATTGCAGAAAAAGTCTGCGTTAGAGGAAGAAATTCTAGGGTTAAATGAAGTTCCCAGTATATAGCTGTTAAGTATTTTTGGTGACGCTGTGCAGAGGGGTCTGGATAATGGATATTCACATGCCTCTCCTGGGACATTTTTTCCGATGAGGCAATGAAGACATTGCCTCCTCCAAAAACTGAAAAAAAATAATCCACAATCCATAGTAATCTTTTGTAACAATATTTACTTAAAGTATTTATTTTCACTTTTTATCAATTTAACATTTCCTTGCTGAATAAACATATTAATTTCTTAGTAATGACCCCAAAAGCTGTTCTTTTTAACTCGGGTTCCAAAAAAATATTAAGCAGCACAGCTATTTCCAACATTGATAATAAATTAACATATTAGGATAATTTTTGAAGGATCATGTAACACTGAAGACTGGAGTAATGATGCTGAAATTCAGTTTTGCCATCACAAGAATAAATTACATTTTAAAGCATATTAAATTAGAAAACTTAATTTAAATTATAATAATATTTCACAATATTAGTTTTTACTGTATTTTTCATCAAATAAATGCATCCTAGATGAACATAAGAGACTTCTTTTAAAAAAAAACATTAAAAATCTTACTGATCCCAAACTTTTAAATGGTACTGTATAATATTTTTTTTATACTGTAGTTATTGTTTTCAAGCACTAATAATTTATCGCTTATTGACACTGGTAGTTTCATGACAAAATGACATGCTTTCAAACAAGAAACAGCTGTAATATGTCATATTGCAAACAAAATAGTATCGGTTCATGTTCCATTTACTTTTAACCTTTTTTTCCGCTGGCACTGTGAACCTTAAAAAGGACACTGTGCAAACCTTTGCCTTTCAGCGGGTTTATGAGTTCGCTAAATCTGACACAACCTTCCTTAAGGGAACCTCAAATAGAGTTTAGGTGCTCATTATATGTACTCTGTCTGTACTGATTATAATTAGCTTTATATAAAATCATATAGCCAAGTAAACCTGTGTGTGCGTGTGCGTGTGTGTGTGTGTGTGTGATTAAATATGAAAGCCATGCAACATCTCTGACTGCTTTCTCTGTCCTTGTGAGTGATGGAAAAGTGTTTCTGTGGGTTTGCGCAGGGTGGAACTACAAGGCTAATCTTGTCGGACCTCAACAGCTTGTGTACATTAGCAAACCATCACTTTCCTCGGCTATTCGGAAGGCCTCCGGCATTCCCTTTCTAACAGTTTAATCGTTAATTAATAGAACCCTAATCATGAGCGAAAGGGAAAGAAAACGCGAGGCAAAATCTCCCACGGAAAGGTCGATGTTCTGATATTCTCGCACACGGAAACACGCAAGGTTAATTATTGAAATAATGTCACAAAACTCCTCTTGCCTGGCAGGCACAATTAATAGCCTTTAAAACAGCCATTTATTTCTTGCTACCTAAATTGAAGTTTAAAATCTGCAGCAGAGAGCGAATGGCTTTTTAACCATCTCGCGCTGACCTTAATATAACAGATATAAATGAACGTCGCCCGGCCGGTTAACCAGAGCGTCAGACCTCCAAATAGAGTTTCACACCGACCTGTCAGCCTGATTAATGGGCAGGCCTCGTTTTTATTTCACTTAAATGAAAATCCTTTGCTCACACATGCACGAAAACACAGGGCTGCTAGCGAAAAGCCTTCGGGAATTGCTGCAGTCCATCTTTTTTCAACTTCCAGTTGAATGCAAGATGAAGATTTGAAATCTCCATTAAGCAAACCAACTGGCATCCACTGGGCCGCACTGATCCAAAAGAGCATTTTAATAGTCTGCGACGCTCAGCGAAGACAAACACGAGGCTAATTTGCTGGTGTTTAATGAGCTGCGCTAGATGAAAAGCCTTATGATGTTTAGATCTGAAGCCGTTTCGGAAATTTGTCTTAAATGTGAACGACGCTTTTCAAAAGAATGGGATCTTGTTTCATTTCTGAGACTAGCTTTTCAAAGAATCTCCATAAACAAAAACATTGTTACTTCTGGAATAACTCCGTCCGTCTCTTTCGGGTTTAGAGCTTCCTGTTGTGTGTGTGTTGTGTGTGTGTGAATGTGTGGGAAAGTTCATCCAAAGTTTTGTGCTTTATGCAAGAGCGCAGCTTGGCTGACACTTTTCAATATTCAACGCATTCTTGTGTGCGTACTCTCTCCATCCCAGGTGTTCTTGTTGCTTTGCATAGCAGACTGGATGGTGCACTCCATGTGGAAAAGCGGGAAAGATCCGGACAGCTTCTCTATCCCGTATCTGACAGCATTGGGCGACCTGTTGGGAACCGCCCTCCTGGCTCTCAGCTTCCACTTCTTGTGGGTCATCGGGGACCAGGACAGTGATGTGGGTGACTAAGATCTTTCTTTGATCTTTGACCCGCAGATCAAGCTATTCCATACTTGCTGTCTTCACTTATTGCCTTGAATGGCCGCTTGTCGGATCGGGCATGTGGCATAAAAACAAACTTAGCATTTCTCTGTCAGTTTGTGACTCTTCTTAAAGTGCCAGATGATTTATTAGCTGCATCGAAAGATTCAGCACTTGCAGTAAAGGATAGAAGGCGGTGAAGCTTCTCCATCATCTCAGAGTGATTTCTGGTGTGTCTGACGTGGGACAGTACGAAAAGCTTCTTTAATGCTCACTTCTACCCCCTCGGGTTTCTTTTTCAGCACTAATGCAGTGGATGGACCAAATACAAACCCTAAAAACAAGAATATGTAAGATTGTCTTGGTGATTGTACTTTATTTATTTGTCTTGTCTTTCTTTAATCATTTACTCATGTTGCTCTTTGTCATCTCTTTTGAGACTTAAGACCAGTTCCTCATGTCCAGTCGAGTCAGACCTTATTACAAGTATACACATTTTTACTCAAGCCGTGCCAGATCAATTCATATAAACCTCTGTAATGCAGTTTGGAAGTTAAAGTATTGCTTTGTATTGCTTAATAGCGTAGAATAATGAACTAATATATATCAGCTTTGAGAAAAGGGAATAGACTTTCAACTGCTCGTTTAAAGAGAAACACAACGGTCTGAGTATCGATTGGAAATGTCAGGCTTTCTTTTTTGTTCTGCAACTACGTCTCTGTTTAATGGTCATGTATGCAACCAAACGAAATGGGATGAACTGGCAAAACAGACACTCTTATACAAGTCTTGTATGTGTGTGTGTGTGTGCGTGTAAACATTTTTTGTACATTGTTACTGAGGTGCCATGAACAGCATTTTTCTATGGGGGAAAAAAAGTTTCTACTGGCACCAATGGAGGATTCTTTATGTTTTTCTGACCATGCTTTTTTTGATACTCAGAATGTTTAATAAAGGTTTAATAAAAGTTTATGGCCAATATCCGTCAGTTTGATGTTTATTTTTTACATCCTTAGGACTCCTGAGGCCCTAATTCAATTCTGTTGACTGTAATTATCTGCATATGATGTCTTTGCAACTGCAGGGATGCAGCGAAACCTCCCTTATCAGTTTAGAAACCTCTTGCGCTTTTATGAGAAAGCTTTATATACATTCAAACAGAAGGTATTCGCTTGCTGTGTGAAAACAATAAAGCGTGAACCATAAAGTGTTTTTATTTGACTACAAAGAGCTCTGCCAATAAAATACATCAGGCACTTCATAGTGTGCTCCTAAAATTTGCACTTTACTCCACCTGTCAGCAGTTTTGTCAAACTGAGCAGTTAAAACTCGATTGCCAAGCTCAGAAATTGTTTTGTAATCCGATTTGCAGTTTCATGGCCTGCTATTATTTCATTCACATATTAACATGACCTCTGTGGGTAGATATTTATTTAATTACCTTTTGCACAGCTCATTATTGGCTATTAAATGTGACAAGAGTACAAACGCTTTCCAGACGTCACTCATCACTCAACATTTTTGACATGTCTAGTATATTATTGTCGACAGTCTAAAACAAAAGGCTTCTGTGTGAGTGTTTGGGAGTCTAGACAGGCCATGTTAATGATGGTTGTTGAACTCTCCTGTCTTCAGGGTTTAATGGGGTTATTTGAGCGGTGTGGTGGATTGGGGGCCTTGAAATCTGAGCATGCACATAAACGGCCCCCAAATCGAGCCAGAGGGACCATGCTGTTGCATATTAGCACTCTATTAAAGCAATCCAATCCCCCAATGCAGCCCACAGCCTCTGTACCGTGATCCCTCATGTTCACCACTAACAACAAACAGGTCATCAAGCCAATTTACTGCTCTTGTGGAGCTAATCAGAGCAATGACTTTCAAAACTGGCATTAATTTTTGTGGGGTTTTGTTGTTTCCTGCTGGAAAATTCAAGGTTTTACATGGTCTCTAGTTGGGCTATGCTGGTCTGAATAGTTTATTTGCTTGACTACCAAATGGTGGACCTGGTAGACCATCTTGATCAAGCTGGTAGACCACCTTGGACTAGCAAAAACCAGCTACCCTGCTCCAATAACCAGCTTTAGACAGTTCACTTTAAAGCGAAATTTCTGGCATCATTTACTAGATAGAATTATCTTATTCTGTAGAACTCACATGAGGAAATGTTATGAGGATTGGGATCATATCATATTGGACAATGAAGGACCATAATAATTATAATAAAAGTAGTCCATATAACTCATACACTATACTCAAAGTCATATGATGGCTTTTAGTGAGGAGCAAACCAAAATAACTTTGTATAAGTTAAAATTTAACCTTGACAGCCCAGGTCAGTTTCATTATATGTTAAATGAAATTTTTCCTTTAAGCTTGATAAATATTGGAAGGCCCTTAAAACTAGCATTTTCACTGTTGTCTATAACAACCTCGCCTTTTTCTGACAGTATAAGCAGCACTGAACTATGGTAATGAAGTCAGACTCAAGTCGACACAACACCCACTCTTCCATTACAACCTTTGCCATCCCGATCATCAAGTACATCTTAAAGATGGGATTTGGAGTCGTCCCCTGGCATGAGCGTGAGAGTTAAATACAAGCCAAAAATGATGGTTTAGATTGAAGGACTTCATCCAACAACTCCACCTCAATCAGTTTTGAGGGCCCTGGACTGTACAGCATGCTCTTTACTCACTGTTGTTACATTTTATTTCTCCATTTGGACTATTTATCGAACATTTTCATTTTATCCAGCACCACTTTTGACCTGAAAGAGTTTTGAAATGTGGGATGCCAGTTCAGGGATATTTTAAAAGGCAATTGTTATTGTTTGCTCACACTCATGACGTTCCAAAACTGTATGAGTTCCTTTCATATGTGCAACAAAAAAGAAGATATTTTGGAAAATGCCTCTTTTGTTCATACAATGAAAGTCAGTGGGGTACCCACTGGACCCCATTGATTTTTATTGTATTGACAAAAACAGTTGAAATACTTTGTCCAAAATATCATCATCTGTGTTGTCCAAAAGGAAGTAAGTCAAACAGCTTCGAAATGAGGGTGAGGAAATTATGTCAGAATTTAGTATTTTTTGGTGAACTGTCATGACTTTAACAAACCACTCGTTTTGATTGTTCACTTCATCCTCTTCCTCTTTATTGTCAGTATTTGCTAAATTCAGCCATGAAGGAGAAGGAGAAGAAGTTGTCGTTCTCTGTCATGCTTAGACTCCAACAGAGAGCGGTTTCTGTCATTCAGGTGTGAAATTCCTTCTCGACTGAAGCTGAAGCGAAGGGTTGAAGGAGTTCAACTGTTGTGCAAATGGATGACTATGAACTAATCAAGTATACAGCACTGTGAAACACTTCTTAGGGAAATGGACGGACTGAAAATCTTCTCCGCTGTGATTGAACCACAGCCAATTTCATCCTTGGGAATTAAGGAACACTTCACTGAAAATATCTTCTTGCTTTTGGTTGTCTTTTGGCTGGGTTTTAGAGCTTGGAGATTAAACCAAATCATAGTTGTTTTCAGCTACGCCTGCATATTTGCAGTAAACAGCATAGCGGTCCCTAAGGGAACAACATCTAACTTCTCACCAAACATCATCATTTCAGCCCTTCATAAGTTAGATAATGACAGAGAACTGCTGCCAACTCAACCCTGCACGTGTTCATTGAGAAAACCCAAACCCTATCGCAATGCCAGGTTTGATGTGGCTGAAGGACCTAATTCAGAGGATGAACTTCACCTCAGCGGCTAGGAATTGGTGTATTCTGAGCATTACCAAGAGGTTACGGTGGAGGGTGGAGCGGAGGCGACCATAGCAGGTGCGGTAGCAAAGTTGCATGAGAATTGCACATTCAGCAAGAAAAAAACCCCAAAGCTCAGGATTTTCGATTTGAAGTTAGGCTTTGGCTGCAATTTCGCTTTTAACACCAAAGTGACAACCCACTACTACTGAAGCGTACATGAATCTTTCTTCACAGTGGAGTGACACACATTTCTCTGGCAGCCCGTAACGCAGATCTGTCGTGCCTATGTGGCACAAAAGCTTGGCACACTTTTGCGTTTCCTCTTGCATCAAACCTTCAAAGGTCCCACTTTAAATCTTGCTGGGATATAACATATAACCAGACACATCTGGACTCGCCACAAGACCTGGGAGGCCCTGCAAGCACCACAAGGTCAGCCATATTGTCAAAGATTCAAAAATGTGGCCTTGCTAAGAGGCTAATAACTGGGTTCTTTCATATAGTAATGATAATATTGTTAGGGAGTATCTAGTCTCGCAAAACCACATATTTGACAAATAAAGTCTAGTTTGTTTTGCTGCTTATTACACCCTCCTAGAAAGCACCATATTGTTGATCGGCATGTAAAACAGACAACCACTTTTCAGTTTGTTTTTACATGCCGTTTAAGGTTAATCTAAAAGAAAAAATCATTTCTTTTTATTGAATCATAAACACATTGTCCTCTTATGATGAGTCATTCTGTTTAGTGAATCAAATGCATAAAACTTGCTATTAACTTTATGTTGTACAGTAAGAGTGAGACGTCAGAAAGCAGTTACTGATTATTCACATAACAACAGATATAAAGCCATCCCTTGGCATTACTGGCATCAAGCTCTACCAGCTGAGCCACAGTAGCCATAAATGGTTTCAAACTGCACAACAAGCTCACAGACAAACTTAGAAGTTGTTTATCTAAAGGTGAGGGATCACATTCAGCCTCTACTTATGTTGGATAAGCCCTATTAAACCCCCTCAGGATTTAAGGAAGATTGTAATTGAACAAATCCCCTATAAGAAGCTGTGAGCAGGGCCGTGCGGTGCAGGATCCGAAAAAGATTTGATGTTTTCCTATGGATCATCTTAGCATAAGATGCTAGAAACCATGCCAAATGAGAAGGAACAGCTGTGTTAAAAAGATCCTTTTAACAACTGACAACATTTTCACTCGAGTTTAATGATTATGTGGAGACACAGACAGTGACAAATTGGCCACTAAGGGTTTCAGTTTCAGCTTTATTGAGAAAACAGAGGAGAGAGATAGAGAGAGTGTGTGAGCGCCTTCTCCAACTATTGATCCGACAGTTCACTTGGTTTGTATTTTTCTCATTTACAGTGCGAGGGTCCGACCCAGTGACCCAGCAGAGTCCATCCTGAATACAGAGGAGGAATAAATAAATAAATTAAACTGCCGATAGTTCAAGAATGTTTGTGAGCTCAAGAAAGCAAGTGGACGCTCACTGAAACAAATACAGCAACATTGAACCAATGTAGACAGACACTGATTATTAAACAGGCACATAGAGCAACAGGTAAGCCATGTGAGCATGTGTGGATGGTGAGCCTAGCCGTTCTGTCCTAGAGTGTGTAAAGTTAGCTAAGTTAACTAAATATTATAAAACCTCCATCTGGGGAAGTGCTCAGCTGGAAACATGAATCGTAAATAAAGCAAATCATGTTTTGTATTTCTAAAAATGAAAAATGCTGCATGCAACGTGAGTGAGCTGTACTACATGTGATAGAGTGACAGTTTGAAAGCCACTGTGCCTGCTAATGTGGGCGCTAATGCGTGTATTAGCGTGGCTGTCGTGTGGGCGCTAATGAGGCTGTACCGTGTTTGTTGTTGCAGAACAAATGAAATAAACAGTTTATAAACCGAGAAACCATCCAGGCTTTGTTTTCTGAGCTGATGATTCAAAATGAAGTGATTCATTTAACTTCAGATTCATTTCCTGTTCTGGTGAAGAGGAGAGCAGAGATTTGAACAGGCAATCTAATAACAACTAGATAAAGGTTTTATTTGTCTTTGTGAAAGAAAACATGCTAAATGTATTTACTGGAATCTCTTGCATGTAAATCTGAGTTGTTGTCCTAACCAGCCAGTCAGTTACCATAATTAGGCCACTGAATGACAACTCGGTTAAAATAAATTAGTTTTGTAATTATGGCTTCCATATGG